TATATATATAGGGTTCAGCCTCCTGATGAGTTGGTGAAACTCCGACGAAACAGTTTGTCACAGCCCCTCGTTTGTTGTCCTCTTCTCTCTCTCTGCCTACGGTTTACTGGGCAGTTCTATTTGTGACGATATATATTATATATATATATCGTCACAAACAGAACTGCCCGGTAAACCGTAGGCAGAGAGAGAGAAGAGGACAACAAACGAGTATATATATTCTGGGCGTTTTTTTGTCCCGCCCGGTTTACCCGGGCACCCCCTTGGGCCCAACCAGCTGGGCTGGGCCCGGCTGGACAGGCCCGGCCGGGCGGCGTTCTCACTCAGATTTTTATTCGTAATTTTGAATTTTCGTTTTCATTATTTTTAATCCACTCCAAGTCCCTAAAGCCCGTCAGTCATAGCCACCCATTTTTTCAGTCGCCGCACACCGACTGCTTATTTTTCATACAAACATGCTGTGTCTGATCCCTGCGATCAATGGCCCATGGGCACCTTTCCTCATTCGATTTCGAAGCCCGGCACTGCACTCTTCTGTGCCTTCCTTTTTTTCAGATCGTCAATCGCAGGCTGCGATTTTTCTGTGGACTCTTGGATAGCGGGAGAGGCAGAGAGAGAGAGAGAGAGAGAGAGAGAGAGAGAGAGAGAGAGAGAGAGAGAGAGAGAGAGAGAGAGAGAGAGAGAGAGAGAGAATGTAATGACCTGCAAAATCACAGACTGAAAGACCTGCTGTCTTCCGAGTTTGGCAGATGGACTGAGTGACTTGCTGAGATTCAGAATTACTATTTTATTCTGTTCATCTCATGGCAGCTGGGTTCGAACACAGGTCTGTATTTCAACAGTTCATTGGGTGTGTTGGTTACATAGAAGTGGTACTAGAGTTGGTAAAGATTCTAAAGAACCTTTTAAAGTCCCTCTCTATTCTGGGGGGCATCAGTCCGGTTGCTTATCACCGGCAAGCATGAGTTCAAGGAGAAAGACTGCAACTGGTTAGATATAGAACATTTCTTCTTCTTCTTCTTCTTCTTCTTCTTCTTCTTCTTCTTGGTTGAAACAGGTCCTTATGGTCCTGGCTCCATATCCATTCTGGGGAGCGTCAGTCCGGTTCCTTTCCACCAGCAAGTCGAGGATTGAAATACATGGTGGTCTGCCCATCACTGGGTCGTCGTCCTTGCTGGATTTGCGCTTTGCCACTTCTTCCAAATCAATCTGTTATCTGCCACGGTTGCGATCTTTCCCTGTAGAAGCCAGTTTCTCACAAAAGTCCGTCTCTTGATAGCTAATCTTTCTAGTGTCTGTTTGTTGTTGATGTCACCTCCCTCCGTCTGGATCAGATCTCCGTTTCCACCATTCCCAGCAGTAGAATCCACATCTCTTCCTGTGCCACCTCGGTACCCTCGATAGTCTTGGTACACCTCCTTTTCCATATTACCCAGAAAGCCAGGTTCCTGAGCATGTGAAACCAGACTTCTTTCCCACCTTTGAGACCGTTAGTATTGTTGGATAGGAGCAGGATTGTCAGAGGAGTTGTGGATGGAGGTGAAGGGGGTGATGAGAAGAAGAGGAGGGAGCAAAGGTCGTGAACCTTGTTCCACATCCATGCTGCTTCAGTGCACTACAAGAGGCAGTGGGGTATATCTTCCGGGATGTTGTCCGTGGGCAACCTGCATAATTCGGACCTGTCAGGATCCGCATCTTTCCTCTTGTGGAGCCATTGGTTGATCGGTAGACATGCGTTCGCTACGAGCCACTGCATGCTTCGGATCCTAACCGGTCTAATAGACAGGTACGTCGTCCAAAGGATGGATATGGGGTCTGTGGGGTCTAGATTCAGTATCTCTCTCCATTTTCCTTTGATTCTGGGGTCCAGATCTGTGGTCTGTAAACCCAAGGCATAAGCGAATTTAACATCATATTCAAATTATCGTCCTCAATTCTCCTGAACTTACCCTCTTTCCAGACCCACAACTCTTTCGGGTCGAATTCGAGGCCTGAAATGCTGAGGTCCGGTTGGAAGATTTTCCAGGGCTTGCTTGGCCTTTTAAGATCCTCACTTTTCGCAGTCGGTAGGCTTTAAGTATGTCGCACTGGGGTTCTTTGTTTAAGCCGAATAGGGTTTCCAACTCTTGTAGGCTGTGATTAGCGATGGGGTATGAATAGAATTTTCATGTTTTGGATAAGTAGCTGAGTGGATCTATTCGAGAGACAAAGCGGTATGCTCTGCTAGGCTGGGTATGGGAGATGAGTCTCATGCCTACTATGCCCCAATCCCCATACTTCCACAAAAAATCCTCCCTTAGAGAGTCACTGTGTTGGAATGCCTTTAAGTTAAAGAACATTTCTGTATTGCATACATCACTAATTTTGTGGTAATTTATGCTCTTCCATATTTGCGGGGGCTTCTGCCCGCACTTGGAAGAATGCTAGTATATTTTATTATTTTATAATAATGCGCATCCTCCAGGTATTTGAACTTATGTCCACTTGCTGAGTGCTTGTTCTACTTCTATCAATCTTCTGAAACCGGTGCTGATTCCAGATGCAGCTCGTGCTTGAGAGGAATCTTCCGGCGATTGTCTACGACTTCGGCTATAAAAAAATGCCTTTTCCAAGCCAGGGATTCGACCTCATCCACGGCAGTGCCTGTGGCGCTTTGGCTGAGAACCGTAAGTTGTTCTCCATGTAACCCCCTTTTCTCTCTGTATGAGAAGATTGTTAACAGTTGGTTGAAAAAACAAACAAACAAACAGACAAACAAACAAACAAACAAACAAACAAACAAACAAACAAGACAAGAGTCAACATAGGTTAGTAAATGCTTTGAGTCCCATAATTCTGAGGGGCACCTTTGCGGTGTGGCAAAAGGTGGAAAGACAGTCCCTACCATCAAAGGATTCCCTAAACGGCATAACGGGACGATGTGGGGCATGTGTTAGAGCGAGTGCCAAGGCCCATGGCTGGTCAGCAAAAGATTAACACCAGCTGGACACCTATGTCGTCCCCAATCACATGTGGGGAAGATGAGCGGCCACTGTTACTTTTTGGAGATCAGCTGCGGAGCTGGCCTGTCCTCTGGCGAACGGTGCCAATGGACAGCCACATTTCGGGAAGTCAGCACCGGACAAGTCTTGGAAGCCGGCATGCCTGGGGAAATGCTGCCGTTTCTACCGATTTTTTCTGGGTGCTGACGAACATCATGGAAGGGGCTGATAGGCCTTATGTGGACTCAGTGTGGGACCTACAGGCGCCCATCCTCCTTTCCCAGCGGCACTTTTGGAGTGCTAGTCTGCATGAAGCCGAGAGGGCCGCTCAGCCCTCCAGCTGAGTTTGTTGCAGGCCAGCCACAGGGCGCGACCAAAGTGAGAAACAGTTCAAAAGCCAGCATGTGAGAGTGAGCAAGGGCGCCTGAAAGACCGAAATCCACGGGAAGAGAGAGCGATAGTGTGTGTGTGTGTGTGTGTGTGTGTGTGTGTGTGTGTGTGTGTGTGTGTGTGTGTG